ACTTACTTATTTTTTAACGTACCTGTTTCTATATGGAATACATACATGTTTCATTTCTTTACTGACCCTTTACACTTGCCAGTTTTTTTTTTATGGAATACTTGCTTATTCCACTATCTATCCTTTTGACCTTCTTACCTATTTGACTTACCTTCCTAACTCACTTACCTTTGAATTTCTTACCCTTCTGACTGACTAACTTACATTTCTTACTTACCTATTTAATTTTTAATTATATTCAATATTTACTGTAATTTTTAAGATTTTAACTTCTTTGGTTTCTAGCAAATGAAACTGTGCACCCGCTTGCGCTTTCAATTCCTTCGAGTAGACCTGTAAATGGACCAAAGTGTCGGGTCTCGGAATTGGAAGCGCAGCCGGTTGCGCGGTAAGTAGTTTGCTACCTAAATTCAAAATTTTATTGTATGTTTGTATTATGTTTTTTATTTTTTCAGGTGCTGTGATACAGATCAAGTTTATATTGTAATTTTTATGCTTTTTATTGTTGTTTATTGTTGAATAAACTTATTTCAAAAGAAAAAAGTATCTGTTCTTATCAGCTTAATATCTGATACGTACCCCATCGGGGTACTTCGATATTAAACTGATTTTTGGACCTAGATGAGGTGCCCGGAGCTTGCTCCGCCCTCATCACGGGTTGCCCTGGTATTGCAGTACTTCCAGGCGTGGCCCACCCTCATAATACAAATGAAAAGAAATTCCCCCTTACTACCATGCCAGCTTGCTACTAGCATATGCCGTACACCTTCCAGAAGTGGGAAATTGGCGTGTGCCTCACAGCTCGGCTGAAAATCGACGTTTGCCCTACGTCTCACACTGCTTGTGCAAACCAGAATATTAATAGAACGTAATGCTCTGCTAAATGTATCGAAATGGGCTGCACTAGCATTTGCGTAGCCTGAGTGCAAAAGAAAGAAAGAAAGAATGAACGAACGCTGTTCACAGAGAAGATCTTTTTTCTATGTCCTTATTTTCCTTTTTTTTTTTTTTTTTTTTCCTTTTTTTTTTAAAGACCGACTGTGTCGAGACCATCGCGGAAAGGTACAAATTTATATGAGGTCCCAAACTGACTGTGAGCGGGCATCGCTTCTCGGCCTTTTGGCTAAGATCAAAGTGTAGTATCTGTTCTTATCAGCTTAATATCTGATACGTACCCCATCGGGGTACTTCGATAGTAAACTGATTTTTGGACCTAGATGAGGTGCCCGGAGCTTGCTC